ATATGAAATATCAATCTATTTGCTCTCCAAAAATCTCACATACTCTCATACTCTTAATGAAATACAAAAACCCCATTTTACCCTTAGAAAATCAAATTTAAGAATAAATAACAAAAACAATTTGACCAATCAGAAGCTATTATTTCGACAAATGAAAACTGACTGTTCCGACCAATCATAACATTCCATGTCAGTCCGTATTTATGTCTATATTTAATTTTTGACACTCTATAGTTTGTACAACTTGGTAAAACTTGGTTTCTTAATGGTACAACTACGACCAATTTAACAAATCTTTATATGTAATTAAATAAATTAGTTAGATAATTTTATAAAATCTTCATATGGCCTTTAGAAATTTAACGAATAATTTAACAAATTTTCTTAAATAACATTAGTTAAACAAAATTTATAGGATAGTTTCAATTAAACTCATTTTTCTATAAATTTTTTAATAAACTAGATGTTAACCCGCGGTACACCGCGGGCCTATATTTTTACTAAATAAAAAAATTAAAATTTTTAAGATAATCTATAGATATATAGTATACCGCATAACGATATTTTACAACTAAAAATCAAAATTTTAAGTTATATTTGTTTTGTTTAGTGTGTAAGATTGTATAATTATAGTTTGATTATTAATTCTAGGATTTTATCCGTAGTATACCATCCCGTATTAATATTGATCCAAATCCCTCCCACCATATAATCTCATCCCGTGAAATTAAACATCATTTTGTAATTTTCTTTTTAATAATAATTTTATTAAAACATTTCCTAAAGTATTATTTGGCTTTTATATGACTAAATATTTATACGAATAAGATACATGTTATTAAATTACTATCCCAAAGTTTAAAACTAAGTAAGTTTTATTAGTGGGATAAAATTTATACTCATTACTTATATAATTTATTATTTAATCTGAATATAATAAAGTTTTCTTTATTATATAATTGTTTGATAATGCTATATAGTGTTATATATGTGTGTTATAAATGTGTTAAAATAAACCAAAAAGACAAAATTTCGAAAGACAAATTAAATTACTCTAATTGTATAAAAAATAGTCAAATAATGTCTCATGCTTTACCTAAGAAAACAGAAAAAAAAAAAAAAAAACTCGAAAAAAGAAAACTAATTTATGTTAAAGACGTGTAATTATGTATTGGGCCTTAATTAGGCTTCACTTGTCTTTTCTGTATTTTACCCTTTGGACTTTTAATTGAAAAATCTATGAAAAAACAGAAAATGTTGCATTATAAAATAAAATAAAAATCTCTTTTGAGAACCTTCTCGTCTTCTTCAACCGTTCTTATACGTTTCTGATTTTGGAGTTTTTATGTAATCAAGCTACTTTCACACCCAAGAAATGTAAGCTCAATATGATTATTATTGGTTTGAATACAATAAAAAAGCAAACATGAATTTTGTCAAATCAAGTATAATATATGAAAACAAATGGATGATACTTTGTTCACTGTGTCTATTGCTTTTAGTAAAATGGTGCATTCACTTAATGCACCTTAGGCTAAGCTCTACTAAATAGTCAAACATAAGATCATTAGCCAAAGTGAAAGTGAAAATATAATAAACGTATATAAAACAAAACATATAAATTTTTTGAGTCAGAAATTTTAATAAAGTACTCCAGCAATGGCTTTAGCTGAAGAATCTGCCTATACAAATCAGCAGCTCTACTAAATAGTCACATATAAGGTCGTTAGCAAATTGAAAGAATAATAAACGTACGTATAACACAACCAGAGTTAGTCAAATGAGTAATTGCCTGTTTTTGATACAAATTGGTGTCTCTATGTTGGTCTTCATCTTTTGCAGATATTTTATACTCTTAATGGCTACAGTCTCAAATATAAAAAGAGAAAAAGATGTCAAATATACTTCTTTTGTATAGCTTAGATATACACTTTGAAACATAAATAGTTTTTCAACTCACAAAATCTGACATTCCAAATCTGTAAGTGGAAAATCCATATTATATAGAAATTAACTTGTTACCAAAGCATCTAGCATTGAGAGTAGTCGTAACTCATCACCAACATGATCGACCACAAAGAATCTGCACACGAACAAAAAAAAAGTTAATAATATCCAAAGACTCTAGCGATGTATATGAACAAAAGAATTGATGAATATAAAAAAAGAATTGTATCTTTTTCCTCAAATTTCATAAAATGATTGACGTAGAAAATTCAAAATAGATTTATTTCTAAACGTATAAACAAAAATTCAAAGTTTAATCGAATCCAATTTCAAGAAATTAAATCAAACAACACATTAAGATTAGAAATTGGAAAGTTAAAGAATGCAACTGGTGTTTTGTGTGTTCAGAAGTAGTAGAAACAATCAAGTATTTATAGAGTTATGATAGGTTAGTAGGGTTTTGTGTTAGAGAATATCCAAAATCTTGATTAGCAAGGCGTTGATATATTCGAAAATCTTTAAATTATCACAAATCTAGAATATGCTACATATATTCCTAACCATTTTAGGATAATATCTTTAAATATCGTTTATCATGAGAAAATTTCCTAAATCTTTTAGGTGGATTGAATACGGAATTAATATAGTTCATTTTATTTAGGCAAGAAATGTGAATTGCAATTATTATATACGGTTAAAATCTGCATATTTATTCAGAGCATTAATATGAAAGATTTTTGCAATTAAAATAGGCTATTTATTAGGAGTATTAATATCAAAGATTTTCCTTTAAATTCATATTCTCGTAATAGTGCATTAATGTTTTACAATCTATTATAGGAATATAATTTTGATAAACCGTTCAAATAAAGAAAGGATCCAAATCTAATTATTTCGAAATATATATAGAGTAATTAGTTTTTTTAAAATCGAGATTTAAGCAATATTTTAGGAACAATAGTTGAGATAAAGTATGTTATAGTAATTAATTTAGATTGTGAAAATATTCGAAATCAATTTAATTTTTGGAATGATAAGCATTTAAGATAATTTCGAAAATATATGTCTAATTAAAGAATTAATTTCGTTATGGTACTCGAATATATTAGGAATATTCGTATTGTTAGTTTATTTAATTCATAAATTATAATTTGCAGATTTAAATGAAGATCTTCTCGAGATTTTTAGGAATATAATCGAGATTTTAGTAACAAATGTGATCACATTAAATTTTTGAAAGATTTGAAAGATTTGTGTCCAAATTGTTAGAAACAAATTAGGATAGATAATTTTTGGTTAGTATATTTTTTAATATTTTCAAATCTTTAGAATTAAACCCATTGACATTATATTGTTGAATTTATTTTTTAAAAATTACGTAATATTAAATAAAAAATTAAATAACTAACTATTTTCATTTGATGGTGTAGACAAATTATTATTATTATTTATGTAATTTAATTACAAATAACAAATATTAATTTTTATAACAAAATAAATTATTTTCGTATGAACAATTTTTTCCCAAATAAATATTTTACAAAATATTTATTTTAATCACATATTCTTTCTATATAGAAATAAATAGTTAAATAATTATGGTTAGAAGTAGTTAAGGTAAATAACAAATATGGTTAGTTTAGATATATTATATATATTTCCAATTTAGGTGTTAATTAAGAATTAATGTGGTTTTAAGACAATATTCCTAAAATTCCTTATCCAAGATCCGGATAGAGTTAATCCCGGATAAAACCCGGATCCAAAAGACTTTTTGCAAAAATCCCCTGTAAAAATGTATATGTAGATTAGTTAGACCATTTATAAAATCGTCATATGCACTTTAGAAATTTAACCAATAATTTAACAAATCTTCTTAAATAACATTAGTTATACAAAATTTATAGGATAGTTTCCATTAAACTCATTTTTGTACAAGAAAGACCTTATACTTTTAAGATGACTTTCTTATTGTTATCCCCATTACATTGCAAAACACACAAAAATAATGTTTTGACAGATGTTTTTGCATGAAAACATAGGAAATGTACCTTAAATAACTAAAATCATGGGTTTAGCTAAAAACATTTAGTTTCGATCCAAGTATAACTGATTATTCAAAAAATCTCAAAAAGTACAACTGTGTATATGCGAGTACAACTTGAAAACTAGGAATAACTGTGTTCATTTTTGCAGTGCCACCTGGCAGATGTATTTTCTTTGCAGCGCCCACTTGCAATTTATGACGACGTAGTTTGACCCTGAGGAGTTTGACCCACATTTTTTAAGGTTTTAAAATTTTGAAAATTTTAAATTTTTTTACTCTATACTATAGAAAGAGAAAGAAGATGAGAGAGAACAAAATCTGGGTAGTACAACTACGTACCAAGTTGTACCTAGTTATACAAAAATTTCAAATAACCATACTAACCAAGTTGTACTAAGTTTAACAAACTGACGTAGTTATGCCAAATTTCTAAATTACAAAAGCAACATAGTTATACCAAGTTTTATTAGTTGTCCAAAGCATATAGATTATACTGTTGAATCCCCCACTTATGGCATATTCTTCTTCAATGATTTTGTCTGGTTTTGTAGGATTCGTTAAAGTTTGTTTTTTTGTTCGAGCCACTACTCTCTTGCACAAACCTACAAACAAAATCAATCGATTTGATTATCACTTCTATTTAATCGATTAGATTAACACGTCCATTCAAACGATTCTATTAGCACTTCAGTTCCATCACTTCAGATTCTACACAAACAAAATCGACTAACGATTAATTATGGTATCCCTAATTTCAATCGATTTTATATAAAACCCAAAATGAAAACTTGATTTTAACTTATAAAGACGTAGTTGTCCGTAGTTATACCAAGTTTGACGTCGAAGAAGTAGAAAAAAATAAAACTGTCAAATGTCGAAGGATTTCATTCAAAAGTTGAACGAACCCTAAAAAAAAAAAAAAGAGATTTTAATTGGACTTGACCCAATAAGTATGAGTTCGGGTAATTGATGATCCGATTAGATTGGTTGGGTCGTAAATAGATGATTTTTTAAAGGGTTGCAAAGTCTTTGTCTCATATTTCGATTTAAAATAAATTAAAAAGAAATTTCTTTTTAGAAGAAGAGCATTTGAGAAAAGATATTGAGCTTGGAGAGCCCCTAGAATTTGATCCCATGAAAAATAATGATACGTGTATACCTCGAGTTAAAAGAAAGAAGGAATCGCCGCCGTTACTCCGCTGAACCGCACGAGCACTCTGGAACTACCGCCATCGGCCGGAGTTTGGAGGAACAGAGAGAAACCGTGCCGGAATCTCTCTAGGTGAATTATTATGTTGTCTAGCTGATAACTGAACTTGGTTAATCAATCAGATTTCCGAACCGAACCGAACCGAACCGAGGTTTGGCCAAATCGGTTCGGTTAATGTTAATTGATCATAACCGATCGGTGGGATTTCAAAATCATTTCGGTTAACCGAAATTTTCGGTTCGGTTCGGGACGGTAAACCGAAATAATTAAAACCCTACCTAACCTAATATTCTAGCCACTCTTTTTATTCTCCGCATCTTCTTCTCTTTCACCTTCTTCTTCTCCGCATCTTCTTCTTCTCTCACCTTCTTCTTCTTTATTGGATCTCATCTTTTTCTTTGGTCGAATCTCTTCTTCTTCCCCTCTGTCTTCTCCTTCACCTTAACCTTCTCCTTCTCCATCTATACCGTAGCAATATAGAGAACCTGGAACTTGAGAAGATAGTAATGGAAAGCTGATTCTTTGAGAGTGCTTGTTGATTAGCTGAGAGAAATATATATGTTATTGTGGACTGTTTTGTGTTTCGGCTTACGTGTCTATGCTTCTGCAGTTCTTAAAGTAGCTTCAACTTCTGGTGAGAAGACGCAGGCGCCAAGTACTCCATCATCAGAGCAGAAAGCATCAGAGGGCAGTCCAATTAAGTCAATTAAAGACTTCCTGTAGCCATCACCACCGAGAATCAAGCAGCGTCGACGATCTGAAGCAATTACTCCGGATTTGAATTCACTATCGTCGAGCCGCCGTCGAAGTGAATTAGGTCTGAAGATGGGATTTTCATAAAACACACCGGTTCATTATTTTGCCACGTTTTTTATTTTATTTTCTGGGCTGGACCCAACTATTTGGCTAAAACAATTAACATTTGGGCCCCTTTTTTAATTGAAATCGTAACCGAAATAAACCCGTTTTGAACCTAACCTAACCGAAATGTTAATCGGTTAGTTTCGGTAGAGATTTCAATTTCCGAAATACCCGAAAAACCGAGAAACTGAACCCGAATTAACCGATCGGATCGAATTCCCAGGCCTACTCAACATGACGACACTGTGGGCTGGTGGAGATTGAATTATTTATATGTTTTTTCAGGAATGATAATGGACGGTGAGTTGGACAAAACCTTGATGGTAGCTAAATCTTTGACTAGGAAAGGAACTGCTCTGGTGAAGATGGCTAAATGCTCTAAAGGCTATGAACCTGTGATAGAGACTTACCAGGAAGCTCTTGCGGAGCAGCAGGACTACTTTGATCCCAGTATCGGCGTTGAGGAAGGTACAATTATCTCTTGTCTATACAAGGAAAGAATCACCTAAAAGCCAGTAAATGAGGAGGTTGCTGTGTTTCTCATACAGGTACTGATCAGCACAAGTATCCTGGTCCTGTCCCAGTGATGGCTTTCAGACCATCTCTTGAAGCTATACTTAGAGGATTGCTGTATAAGATTTGCTTACATGAGATTAAGCTATGCTCTGATGCTTTAAAAGAGTTTGTTAAGTTACTAAAGGGAGAAACTGGCGGCCATTTGTTGCGTCTTTATTTCCACAACTCACCCAAATTTAAGGAGCTTCTAGATGTATGGAAGTTTCTACATGAAAAAAAACAAGGAGTGTCCTATATATTCTCGCTTTTCCAGACGCTTTTGAGTCATCCAGAGGGAAAAGGTACATCAGCTGATATTGGAAGAGCTATTAACCAGCTTGGCAGGTCACTTATTGATGAAAAACTGCATGACATTTACAATGCATTGAACAGCAAAGAGGGAAAACAACAGAATGCTGCACTTTCACTCTTGGCTTCCATAGTTAGACGTGGTCCAAGAATGGCATCACATATGGCCAATAAATTTGATTTTAAGGGTTTTGCAAAACTGGGGGAGTATAAAACTGGAGGGGCTGACAAGGTTAGGAAACATTCAACGAGGCAGGCTTTTGTTGGGTTTGCAATATCATTCCTTGAAGTTGGGCAACCTCATTTGTCAGATTCTATTTTATGGCAGAAGAAAATGTATTCTAATGTCCTAAAAGGCCTTGGGGAAGACGATGAAGACACTGCGGCTTATGTTTTGTCTACGTTGAAGGACAAGATCCTTGTTAAAGATTCTGTTGGTTCAGAAATTCAGACTATCATGAATTGCATATGCCCTCGACCGTTTAGCCGGTCGTTGATCACTAGAGGGATGCTCCATTCTGATTTACTTGTGAAACATGGGACTTTGAGATTTCTCTGGGAGACGCTGAGGCTGTTGGATTCTTTTGTTACCGCTTGGAAACTTCGCTCGTCTCATAGCTGCTCTGTTGAGCAAATTCAGGCTTCTCTTGAGCGGGATGTCATGGGTGAGGTGAGAAGCTTTTTTCCAGATGCCCAGGTGTATAGACTGTACTGAAGTCTCTGAGCGGTTCTAGCGAAACCCAAAAGCTTCACCATCCTGGTTAGTCT